CACCTCCTACTTGGGGCTTGGTACCCAATCTTGGGTGGGGATAATGATATCTCCCCTATTTGTGTGTTGCACACACAATTTATCTGTAAATATTAAAAATATATCGCACAACACGTATACAATCCCTTGAGTTAAAGCTGAAAGTCTGCATTTGACATTTTCATTACTTCATTTAAAATCTATTACATATTACATAAATTGCAAAATTGTGTAATTACCCAAAAACTTGTGAATCTTACTGTATTTTCTAGGTCCATTTATGTGAAATGGCACAAACACAGATATTGCAAACCTTCATATTCATTTATAAAACAATTTTCTTCACTTAGTGTTTTTTCATGTCATATAAAGTTTGCATGCCTACTGCCATCACTATGAGTGTTTCTGTCCAGTCATTTATGTGTATTTCTAAAGCCCCAATTTGTTTTGAAAATTCTCTCAGGAATAAAATGTCATTTTTACCCTACATTCTGATTCCTAAATTAATACAAATTCTAGATTCAAAACATTAAGCGGAATCAATGTTTCCTGATATAACATTTTCCCCAGAATGTCATCATTGGGCAAAACTAAAAACATTCTCTTTTATTGTCAAAGGAGATTGCAAAGAAAAGCATCTGGACTTCTTTAAGTTGCTTGAAGACGTTTCGCCTCTCATCCGAGAAGCTTCTTCAGTTCTAAGGTCAAATGGTGGGGAACTGAAGAAGCTTCTCGGATGAGAGGCGAAACGTCTTCAAGCAACTTAAAGAAGTCCAGATGCTTTTCTTTGCAATCTCCTTTGACTACGATGACCTGGATGACTGAGAACCTTCACAGACATTCTCTTTTATTCCGAGTTGGATGTGATTTGCTTCATTTACCATCTCATTTGTCACTGGAATCAGCTCAAACATTTTCACTAGCATGGAAACGTAAAAGCCCCAAATGCATAATCAGGCATACTTCATGTGCAGCATTCCCAGATTCATTTACATCCTTCAAATACCAGATTGTCACAGCAATCAGACTTGCTCAATATTGCTGTTTGTCACATAGCCATAACAAGGATAATCCCTCACTTTGAAATTTTCCAGTAAATTTCACCTTCAGTTGTTTCACCCCCAGTGACCCGTAATCATTAGCTTGATTACTGGACATCCAGGAAAAAAATGGACTCACTGCCAATTAATGCTACTGCCAATAACTCAATCACGCCAGCATGTTAGATGGTGCAAGTAGCCAAACAAATGTTGCCCATAAATATGCAGTTGTCTTCCAACTCTGCCAAAGCAATCATTCTGCATCATTAAATTTCACTTTGCTGAGAGTAATGTCAGCATTAACCCAACAGCCAATAGATCTTAAGTGGGAGATATGAGTTATTATCAGTTATTTATATTGTTTTACATTTTCTAAGCTTGTTCAATTAAATGGGGCTTTGAAAGGACAGAACTAGTTAAATGGACATATGGCTTTCTGTTTCTGGATAGGAACAAACTTTGCTGTGCACGCACAAAAAATAAAATCTGACAAATCTGCATACCAGCCTGTAGTTAAATAAAAGAACCAGAAGGGCCCGAAAACAAGTTGTCATGTGCAGTCCTGTGAAAAACTAAGGACACTTCTATAGCTTGTAGAACCATCTTTGATGCAGGAATTGCTTTCTGTATGACAGTTGGTCACTCACGTCATTGCTTTGACCCACTCTTATTTACAAGGTTGCTTCAGTTCATTGAGATTCACAGGTATTGTTTATGCAAACTAGGACTGGGTATCGTCACTGATTTCTAGAATCGAATCGATTCGATTCCGATTCACAATGTCCCGAATCAATTTGATCTACGATTTGATTCAATTCGATTTGAATCTGGGAAATTTTGCCTCAGACAGTCAGAAATATTATAATTCAGATCATGCATCAGTACATTTCCATATTTTTATATCTATAAAAATAAAGCTGACACTTGCGAGACTTTATCAAAGGTGTAAGCATCACAGCAGATGCCTGTGTCAAAGTAATTGAGGATAAAACACAAAAAAACATGAAGGTGATTTTCCTGGCCTGGGATTCAAAAAAAATATTCGGTAGTAGATCAATAACGAAAGAAAACCATTAATCAACATCTGAACATTACCTGATGCTGCTGAAGTGAAACAGAGCAAAGTTACAGAAGTTTTATTAGAGACACAGCTAAGCATTTGCAATTTTGCATAATTTTAAAAGGTTTAAATTTGTTCAGTATTAAACAGCAGAAATGAGGCTTTCTTTTCAGAAGTAAGTAAAAGGAAAAAACAGCGGCAGACAGAATTGTGCGCAAGCGAATAATGAATACAACAGATTTTTAGACGGGAAACTGTTCTTGAAGTATACTGAGAGAGAAAGAGAGAGAGAGAGCTGTGCATGAAGTGTGATTTTATCATGGTGGAAGCAAAACAGCAAAAGTAAGAGGGAATTCATGACGATGTGAAGCGTAGTTTGCTGCTGGTTCAGTGAATTTTGGTTGGAGAGAAATAAAACCTGCAGCTC